TATAGTAATACAATATAATAATAATATTTTTAAAAATAAATTTTATTGAATTATAGAAACATAAAGATATAATAATAATAATATTTTAATACAACAATAATAAACTGTAATGTAATAATATTGTAATATAATAAAATAATATAGTAATATAATATTATTACTATATATATATATCACTATGGTAATATAATAACGTGATGTAATAACTAATAATGTAATATGACATTGTAATAGAATAAAATAATAAAATATAATAACAAATAGTAATAATGAGTCCCACTCAGGGTGAGAAAAGCAGTATAGAAATACTGTAAATAAATAAATAAATAAATAATAATAACAACAACATAGTAATATAATAACAAAGATAATGAATAATAATATTATATTAAGATAGTAAGAGGATAATATAGAATACTAATGGTAATAATTATATAGTAATAAAATAATGATAATATAATAATATAATAATAACAAAGGGTAGTATTAATATTTTAATACAATAAAATAATAAACTAATACAATATTAATATAATATAATAAATAATATAGTAATACAATATAATATAATATAATATAATAATAATAAACTAATATAAATAATATTGTAATATAATAAAACAATATAGTATATACAATATAATATTTAATATAACAATAATAACTAATATAATAATATTAATATAATAAAACAATATAGTAATACATATAATAATATTTAATATAACAATAATAAACTAATATAATAATATTGTAATAATAATAATAATATATAAAATAATAATAAAAATATATAATAAATATAATATTATAATATAACAATAATAACTAATATAATAATATTGTAATATAATAAAACAATATAGTAATATAATATGATTATAATATATATTACTATGGTAATATAATAACAAGATATAATAGTAACTAATAATGTAATATGCAATAGTAACAAATAGTAATAATAACATAGTAAAATAATAACTACAAATTTAATGAATAGTAATATTACATTAAGATAGTAAGAGAATAATATAATATACAATACTATGGTAACAATTATATAATAATAATAATAATAATAATAATAATAATAATAATAATAACAATAATAATAATGCAGCCAGCAGAGTGTTTGCTGTGTACTCATCTTGTGTTTCTCATAATAATAATAATAATAATAATAATAATGATAATGATAATAATAATAATAATAATAATAATAATAATAATGCATCATTCCCTTTCAAGTGGGTCTTGCAACCGAGCCTTGGGACTCGAAAGGGACCCCCCAAAGGCCAAGGAGCCCCCCACTTACTAGCTGGGGCTGGGGGGCGAGGTCCGGTTAGGGACGGAGAGCCGTGGCTTCGTCCGGCCGGAGTGGGGCAGCTTCAAAACGCCGGCCGTGTCACTGATCATTTTGCACCAGCTGCAAAGGAAGAGAATTCGGGAGCCACGAAGGGTCAGACTAGATGACCTCTAAAGGACCCTTTCCTTATTGGATCCTATGATCCCCATGCAAAGCAAAAGTAAACAAAGTTCTGCACAGTAGACTATCGCTCCCAGAATGACCTGGGACTGCAGGAACCAGCCATGTTGCTAGGGGGATGATGGGAGTTGTAGTACCTGTTCTGGCTTTACATTACATCAGCCACCATAATTTGTTAGCTATGTATAATATTATTTAATATTATTGTTATTAATTTTATGTATATCCATTACTAGCTTAAGGGATGATGGGAGTTGTAGTACCCACTCTGGCTTTACATTATATCAGTCATTTGGTAAACACAGCCAGCTTTACTTGTCTTGTTAGCCAAGAAATATGGTATGACATAATATATATTATATAATATTATTGTTATTATGTTTATGTATATCCCTTACTAGCTTAAGGGATGATGGGAGTTGTAGTACCCGCTCTGGCTTTACATTATATCAGCCATTTGGTAAACACAGCCAGCTTTATTTGTCTTGTTAGCCAAGAAATATGGTATAATATTATATAATATTATTATTATGTTTATGTATATCCCTTACTAGCTTAAGGGATGATGGGAGTTGTAGTACCCACTCTGGCTTTACATTATATCAGTCATTTGGTAAACACAGCCAGCTTTACTTGTCTTGTTAGCCAAGAAATATGGTATAACATAATATATATTATGCAATATTATTGTTATTATGTTTATGTATACCCCTTACTAGCTTAAGGAATGATGGGAGTTGTAGTACCCGCTCTGGCTTTACATTATATCAGCCATTTGGTAAACACAGCCAGCTTTACTTGTCTCGTTAGCTAAGTAATATGGTGTGACATAATATATATTATGCAATATTGTTATTATGTTTATGTATATCCCTTACTAGCTTCAGGGATGATGGGAGTTGTAGTACCCGCTCTGGCTTTACATTATATCAGCCATTTGGTAAACACAGCCAGCTTTATTTGTCTTGTTAGCCAAGAAATATGGTATGACATAATATATATTATGCAATATTATTGTTATTATGTTTATGTATATCCCTTACTAGCTTCAGGGATGATGGGAGTTGTAGTGAGAATTCTAGCAAATAATAATTCAATTTAATGGCTGGAATGACCATCATGCTTATAGGATGATGGTGATTATATTTATTTATACTCCGTTTTATCTCCTCAAAGGGGATGATGGGAGTTGTAGTGAGAATTCTAGCAAATAATAATTCAATTTAATGGCTGGAATGACCATCATGTTTATAGGATGATGGTGATTATATTTATTTATACTCCGTTTTATCTCCTCAAAGGGGATGATGGGAGTTGTAGTGAGAATTCTAGCAAATAATAATTCAATTTAATGGCTGGAATGACCATCATGTTTATAGGATGATGGTGATTATATTTATTTATACCCCGCTTCATCTCCTCAAAGGGGGTGATGGGAGCTGTAGTGTTCGTTGTGACTAGATGATGGGTTACAGAGTGGCTAGGGAATTATATAAAAGCTGCACTTTGCAATACTAACGAGGGGATCAGGGTGATTGGCCATCTTGTATAAGGGATGATGGGAACTGTAGTGCCCATCCCAGATTTAAAGGATTATGGCCACAATGGCTAGGAAACAATAGAAGGTACACTTTGCAAGGCAACATAGGGGATGATAGTGACCGGTCATTGCTGCGTAGGGGATGATGGGACTATTGGGTAGGGAATTATAGGAGCGTTCCTTGCCATTCCAGCAAAGGGATTGTGGTCACTGGCCATCCAACTAGGGGATGATGGGATGGAGGGTGACCATTAGTGGTGATGCTGGGCAGGGGATGATGGGTTCTGTTATCCCCCCCACAAAAGTGGCTTTTCCCCAGCTCAGAAGCCTTACTTCTTCCTTTCGGAGACGGTCTGGGCCACCAGTTCGTAGATCTGCGCCCCGTTTTCCCAGCTGAAGATCACGTAGAAGGCCCGGATATCTAAAGGCGAGGAGACAAAGGACGGGATCTATATATAAAAACTATAGGTTTATGAAGGATAAGGCTGCGAAGGGGACCCCAAAGGTCATCTAGACTCAAGTCTATTGGGACACTTCATTAAGATATAAGTTCATGAAGAGTTCATGAAACCTAGACTATGAAGGGGACCCCAAAGGTCATCTAGACTGAGCCTAGACTTGGAAGGGTTCCCCAAAGGTCATCCAGTCTAACCCCATCTGGTCCTTAAGAAGGACATAGGGTATGAATGATAGACTTGGAAGGGGACCCCAAAGGTCATCTAGACTGAGCCTAGACTTGGAAGGGTTCCCCAAAGGTCATCCAGTCTAACCCCATCTGGTCCTTAAGGAGGACATAGGGTATGAATGATAGACTTGGAAGAGGACCCCAAAGGTCATCTAGACTGAGCCTAGACTTGGAAGGGTTCCCCAAAGGTCATCCAGTCTAACCCCATCTGGTCCTTAAGAAGGACATAGGGTATGAATGATAGACTTGGAAGGGGACCCCAAAGGTCATCTAGACTGAGCCTAGACTTGGAAGGGTTCCCCAAAGGTCATCCAGTCTAACCCCACCTGGTCCTTAAGAAGGACATAGGGTATGAATGATAGACTTGGAAGGGGACCCCAAAGGTCATCTAGACTGAGCCTAGGCTTGAAAGGGGACCCCAAAGGTCATCCAGTCTAACCCCATCTGGTCCTTAAGGACATAGGGTTATGAATTATAGACTTGGAAGGAGATCCCAAAGGTCATCTAGACTGAGCCTAAATTCTTGAAGCCTAGGCTTGGGAAGGGTTCCCCAAAGGTCATCCAGTCTAACCCCATCTGGTCCTTAAGAAGGACATAGGGTATGAATGATAGACTTGGAAGGGGACCCCAAAGGTCATCTAGACTGAGCCTAGACTTGGAAGGGTTCCCCAAAGGTCATCCAGTCTAACCCCATCTGGTCCTTAAGGAGGACATAGGGTATGAATGATAGACTTGGAAGGGGACCCCAAAGCTTTGATTGGTGAACTATAAATCCCAGCAACTACAACTCCCAAATGACAAAACAACCCCTTCCCCAACCCCACCAGTGTTTACATGTGTGTGTATTGGGTCTATCTCCCAATGATGCATGGTATTTATGTCTGGCTGGACATCTGCCTGGTGGGGGGCCAGACCGGCTGACCCTTGGGCCTGACCTGTGGCCACTTCCCGGATCATGGCGGAGTTGAGCTTGATGATGGGGCTGAGCATCTGCTTCCCGTCCGGGGTGGGCGTGATGGTCCGGCTGTGGCACTTCAGCACCAGGCGCTCCTCCTGCTTCTGCAGCAGCACCAGGATGTCGTCCAGCAGCAGCACGTGCACCTCTGCCCAGGACAAGAAGCGGTCAAGCGGTCAAGACAGGCACCGGTCAACTTCAGACCGGCCTCCGGGCGTTTTGGACCACAACCCCCACCGTGGTACCAGTCGGGGGGCCCAATACACCCGGAGGAATGGCCCGAGTCGGCCTGCAATGCCCACCCTTCCTTTTTGTGCCAACTGACCGATGGACTTGTCCTTCGTGAGTCGCCAGGTCAAAGGTCCCTCGCAGACCAGGTTCTTCTTGGTGATGTCCGTGTTCTGCAGGAAAGAAAACGCAAAATGGATCGTCGCAAAAGGAGGAAGGGGCTCCCAAAGGTCAGCCAGTCCACACTATAAGAGAAGACACCATCCGATCCCTCCTAACAGATGGCCTTCCAGCCATGGATAGATAGATGGTCATAGATAGGATTGAAAGAGAGTGAGAGATAATAAAAATGATTGAGAAAGGTAGATATGATAGATATAGAATCCTAGGGTTGGAAGGGACCCCCAAAGGCCATCCAGTCCACACTATAAGAGAAGACACCATCCGATCCCTCCTAACAGATGGCCTTCCAGCCATGGATAGATAGATGGTCATAGATAGGATTGAAAGAGAGTGAGAGATAATAAAAATGATTGAGAAAGGTAGATATGATAGATATAGAATCCTAGGGTTGGAAGGGACCCCCAAAGGCCATCCAGTCCACACTATAAGAGAAGACACCATCCGATCCCTCCTAACAGATGGCCTTCCAGCCATGGATAGATAGATGGTCATAGATAGGATTGAAAGAGAGTGAGAGATAATAAAAATGATTGAGAAAGGTAGATATGATAGATATAGAATCCTAGGGTTGGAAGGGACCCCCAAAGGCCATCCAGTCCACACTATAAGAGAAGACACCATCCGATCCCTCCTAACAGATGGCCTTCCAGCCATGGATAGATAGATGGTCATAGATAGGATTGAAAGAGAGTGAGAGATAATAAAAATGATTGAGAAAGGTAGATATGATAGATATAGAATCCTAGGGTTGGAAGGGACCCCCAAAGGCCATCCAGTCCACACTATAAGAGAAGACACCATCCGATCCCTCCTAACAGATGGCCTTCCAGCCATGGATAGATAGATGGTCATAGATAGGATTGAAAGAGAGTGAGAGATAATAAAAATGATTGAGAAAGGTAGATATGATAGATATAGAATCCTAGGGTTGGAAGGGACCCCCAAAGGCCATCCAGTCCACACTATAAGAGAAGACACCATCCGATCCCTCCTAACAGATGGCCTTCCAGCCATGGATAGATGGTCATAGATATGATTGAAAGAGAGTGAGAGATAATGAATATGATTGAGAAAGGTAGATATGATATAGAATCCTAGAGTAGGAAGGGATCCCCAAAGGCCATCCAGTCCAACCCCCTTCTGCTATAAGGAAATACACCATTCAATCCCTCCCGGCAGATGGCCACACAGCTTTTAAAGACCTCCTGGAAAAGAAGGAGACTCCACTGGACTTCCAGGTAGAGTTGGACAGGATCCCCAGAGGCCATCTAGTCCACCCCCTTCTGACAGGGAGCAAAACACAACCCAATCCCTCTCGACAGATGGCCATCCAGCCAGAGATATCATTAACAGAGAGGATGATCAATAGATATGACTGAGAAAGAGAGATATGATAGACACATCATAGAATCCTAGAGTTGGAAGGGACCCCCAAAGGCCACCCCATCCACACTATAAGAGAAGACACCATCCGATCCCTCCTAACAGATGGCCTTCCAGCCATGGATAGATAGATGGTCATAGATAGGATTGAAAGAGAGTGAGAGATAATAAATATGATTGAGAAAGGTAGGTATGATAGACATAGAATCCTAGAGTAGGAAGGGTATCCCAAAGGCCATCCAGTCCAACCCCCTTCTGCTATACGGAAATACACCATTCAATCTCTCCCGACAGACGGCCATCCAGTCGTAGAATTATGGAATCATGGCTTCATATATATCATAGAATCCCAGGGTTGGAAGAGATCCCCAAAGGCTATCCAGTCCAAACCCGCCCTGTTATAAGGGAAGACACCATCCAATCCCCCCCGACAGATGGCCATCCAGTCATCGAATTATAGAATCATGAACTCCTATATATATATCACAGAATCTTAGGGTTGGAAGGCATCCCCAAAGGCTATCTAGTCCAAACCCGTCCTGCTATAAGAAAATACACCATCTGATCCTTCCCGATAGATGGCCATCCTGTTATAGAAAGATGGCCATAGACATGATTGAAAGAGAGAGATGATAGATAGATATGATAGATATATCATCGAATCCTAGAGTTGGAAGGGACCCCCAAAGGCCATCTAGTCCAACCCAGTTCAGCTAAAACTCCAGAGAAGGAGACTCCATTGGACTTTCTAAGCAGTCGATGTTCCATTAGAGTTAGAAGGAACTCCCAGAGGTCATCTAGTCCAACCCCATTAATCTGCCAGACAGCAAGACACCATTCGATCCCTCCTGACAGATGGCCATGCAGGCACAGATATGATTGAAAGAGAGAGAGAAGATAGATAGATAGATAGATAGATAGATAGATATGATGGAGAAAGATAGATATGCTAGATATATCACTGAATCCTAGACTTGGAAGGGACCCCCAAAGGCCATCCAGTCCAACCCACGTTAATTATAACCTACAGAGAAGGAGACTCCATTGGACTTCCAAGCAGTCGATGTTCCATAAGTTGGAAGGGACCCCATAGGTCATCTAGTCCAATCAACCCATTCTACCAGACAGTTAAACACCATCTCATCCCTCCTGACAGATGGCCTTCCCGATAAGAATGGCTCACCCTGAACTCGCTCAGCAGCGGATCCGTGCTTTGCTTGAGGTTGGAGAGATCCAGGCGCCGCTGGTAGTCTTATTGCATTCAAATCACCCCAGACAGATGCCCATCCAGCCTCTGTTTAAAAGGCTTCCAAAGAAGGTTTAAAAGCTTCCAAAGTTTGACTCTTTTCTACTGACATAAGAAAAGAAGCCCTTTTTATTGTTTTTAATGTCCCTGGCAAGCCTGAGCTCATTTTGTGCTTTAGCCTTGCGGACCTTTTCCCTACAGGAGTTGGCTATTTGTTTGAATTCTTCTTTGGTGATTTCTCCCTTTTTCCACTTCTTGTGCTTGTCTCTTTCGAGTCTTAGCACAGTTAGCAGTCCTTTGGACATCCATTCTGGCTTCTTTGCACTTGTCCTATTTTTTTTCTCTTTGTTGGCACTGTTTGCAATTGTGACCAAAAGGAGAAAGGAAAAGGAAGCAAAAGGTACAACTTCCTGCATCAGGATCCCTCCACAACTGCCCTGGGTTCATCCTATGCATTCCTGGGATTTGTAGATCAGCCAAATCACAAATCCTAAGGCTCATCGTTATGCAGCCATGGCAACTAAAGCGGAAGCATATCCTCATGATGGTGCGGTGCGGACAGGCCCAAGGAAGAGACTTCCTGACCTGGAAGTTTATTTTCAATATCGATGTATTTATTATATTTCTCGGCAATATAAGTGTCGTTATGCCATTCGTAAAGGCAGAAATGGAAATTGCTTCCTTTATATGTGGAATATATTGATCTCTCTCTCTCTCTATATATAGATATATTTTCATATCTATATCTACATATATATTGACCTATACTATACCTATCTATATTGATATATATATTGATATATATAGAGAGACATAATTGTATGTGTATATAAGTGTATGTATGTATTTATGTATATATATATATCTCTCTCTCAAGATATGGTATATACTGATATAGATATATTGATATATAGAGATGTGTACGTGTGTATATATATCTCAACATGTAGGATATATTGATCTATCTTATATATAAAGATCCATTTTGATATCTATATCTATTTATCTATATTGATACATATTGATATGTATCAATATAGATCTATATTGACATACCTATACTGACATATAGAGAGATGTGTATGTGTGTGTATATATGTATATATATCTCAACATGTAGTATATATTGATCTATTTTGATATCTAGATCTATTGATCTATATTGATATGTATTAATATAGATCTATATTGACATACCTATACTGACATATAGAGAGATGTGTATGTGTGTGTATATATGTATATATATCTCAACATGTAGTATATATTGATCTATTTTGATATCTAGATCTATTGATCTATATTGATATGTATTAATATAGATCTATATTGACATACCTATACTAACGTATAGAGAGATGTGTGTATATATATGTATATATATCTCAACATGTAGTATATATTGATCTGTTTTGATATCTAGATCTACTGATCTATATTGATATGTATTAATATAGATCTATATTGACATACCTATACTAACGTATAGAGAGATGTGTGTATATATATGTATATATATCTCAACATGTAGTATATATTGATCTGTTTTGATATCTAGATCTACTGATCTATATTGATATGTATTAATATAGATCTATACTGACATACCTATACTGACATATAGAGAGATGTGTGTGTATACATGTATATATCTCAACTTGTACTCTGTGTATACAGAGATGTGCATGTGTGCATATACGTATATATATCTCAACATGTAGTATATATTGATCCATCTATAGAGATCTGCTTTGATATCAATATTTATCTGTATTGATCTGTATCAATTTGATATCTATTTTGAATTGATGTATATTGTCTCTATATTGATGTATCTATATTGACATACAGAGATATATATGTGTACATTTATCTGTATTGATCTGTATTCATATGTATCAATTTGATATCTGTATTGATGTATATTGTCTCTATATCGATGTATCTATATTGACATATAGATATATATGTGTGTGTACATATGTGTGTGTGTGTATATCTCAACATGTGATATATATTGATATATATAGATACGTATATGTATGCTTATATATGTATATACTGATGTATATTTCTATATTGATGTATCTATATTAACATATAGATATATATGTGTGTGTACATATATGTGTGTGTGTGTGTATATATATATCAACATGTAGTCTGTGTATACATATATAGTGAGACAGGTGTATGTGTGTGAATATATATATATATATATATATATATATCTCAACATGTGATATATATTGATATATATAGATACGTATATGTATGCTTATATATGTATATACTGATGTATATTTCTATATTGATGTATCTATATTAACATATAGATATATATGTGTGTGTACATATATGTGTGTGTGTGTGTATATATATATCAACATGTAGTCTGTGTATACATATATAGTGAGACAGGTGTATGTGTGTGAATATATATATATATATATATATATATATATCTCAACATGTGATATATATTGATATATATAGATATGTATATGTATGCTTATATATGTATATATTGATGTATATTTCTATATTGATGTATCTATATTAACATATAGATATATATATGTGTGTACATATATGTGTGTGTGTATATATATATCAACATGTAGTCTGTGTAAACATATATAGTGAGACAGGTGTATGTGTGTGAATATATATATATATATATATATATATATATATCTCAACATGTGACATATTTTGATATATATTGATATATAGATATGTATACGTATGCTTATATAAACCTCAATTAAAACGAACCTGCCCTCAAAAAACAACAACAAAGGAATAAAGTTAAAATGGTCTTCCTTCCCACTTCCAATGTTTCCTCCGCTTCCTCCTTACCAGGAAGTTGTCCATGTTGCGCACTTCCTGGTTGACGTGGTTGAGGATCTGCCGGCAGCACTCGGCCGCCTTCTCCACTTTCTGCCGCTCCTCGTCTTCCTCTGCAACCGAGGACCCCGAAGAAGTGGGTCAGAGACATAGAACGTTGGAAGGGGCCCCCAAAGGCCATCCAGTCCAACCCCCTTCTTTCTGCCAGGCAGGAAAAGCACCACCCGAGCCCTCCCGACAGATGGCCATCCAGCCTGTGGTTACAAAACCCCCCAGACAATGATGTTGGAAGAGATAACACAATCTGAGATCCTCCTTTGGTAGAAAAGGCGGCTCAAGACCTTGTCAAACTACATCCTCCAGGACTCCAGAGCATGGAACCAATAATAATAACAATAATAATAATGAAGTGCATTTATAAGAGAGGCAATGAGAGTGCACTCATTCTGCTTTTCCTTTCCATTACGGGAACCTTGAGTGTCCTCCGGCCTGGCCCAGGTGTATTGCAAAGGGGCGGGGAGAGGGCAAGGGGGCGTGGCCTTCTCCTTACCTGTGCATTTGGCGATGTTGTGCAGGAGGAGCGGGTACTTGGTCAGCCTCTGCATCTCGATGGGGATGATGTCCTTCAGCTGCAGGCGGCGGCACTGCGGCTGGCTCTCCGCTTCCTATCATCATCATTACTAGTATTATTATGATTATTATTGCACCATTCTTCAATTCTAATCAGTTTTATGACAAGTTACGATATATGTGTGTGTGTGTAATTTTACATTACTTGCATCTCAATTTTTTAAATATATATTTTACTGTCATTGTATGTTGTTTATTTGCATTGCTGTATTGTTTATTTATTTATTTGCTTTATTTCTATACCGCATTTTTCAGCCCAAACAGGCGACTCAATGCGGTTTACAAGGTACAAATTATCATAACAGTGTCAGTGCAATTAAAAACACAACAAATGTAACAACAGGATCAACAACACCGATCCACAACAATTAACAAACAACATGAAACAAACATAGCGCCTCAATGAAATCAGATCCGATCTCATAATCCTTGTGCCATTCCTATGTTCCATTTACCGTCTTCCTATGATTGGTTGCACTGCTTAACCAAACGCTTGTTCATAAAGCCAGGTCTTAACCATTCTCCGAAACGTCAGCAGCGAAGGTGCCTGCCTGATGTCTGCCGGTAGGGCATTCCATAGCCGAGGGGCCACCACTGAGAAGGCCCTGTCTCTCGTCCCCGCCAAGCGCGCCTGTGACGCAGGCGGGATCGAGAGCAGGGCCTCCCCAGACGATCTTAATGTTCTGGTCGGTTCATAGGTGGAGATGCGTTCGGAGAGGTAAGGTGGGCCAGAACCGTTTCGGGCTTTATAGGCAAATGCCAGCACTTTAAATTGTGCCCAGTAGCAAACTGGCAGCCAGTGGAGCTGGTGCAACAGAGGACTTGTGTGCTCCCTGAGCGCTGCTCCCATTAGCAACCTGGCTGCCGCCCGCTGAACCATTTAAAGCTTCCAAGTCTTCAAGGGCAACCCCACATAGAGCGCGTTGCAGTAATCAATACAGGATGTAACCAGAGCGTGGACTACCGTGGCCAAGTCAGGCTTGTTGGGCCAAGTATTGTTGGGCTTGGCGTCATGTCAGCCACCCCGAGACCCCTTGGGGAGATGGTGGAGGGGTATAAATCAAGATTATTATTATTATTATTACTATTACTATTACTATTATTATTATTATTATTTGTGTGTGTGTATATATGTGTGTGTGTGTATATATATATATATATTCACACACACACACACACACATGTGTATGTATGTATGTGTTTGTATTGCTGTGGCCAAGTCGGTGTATATATGGGTGTATATATGTGTGTGCATGCGTGTATATATATATATGTGTGTGTGGGTATTTTTCTGTATTTATATGTGTATATGTGTGTGCTTGTTTATATGCATATATGTGTGTATATATGTATGTATGTGTATATGTATATGTGTGTGTGTGCTTTCGTGTGTGTCTATGTATGTATGCATATGTATATGAGTGTATGCGTATATATGTGGGTGTATATATGTGTGCATGTGTGTATATGTGGATATATGTGTGTGTATATATTTCTGTATTTTTGTGTTTATATGTGTATATGTATCTTGCGTATGTGTGCTTGTGTATATGCATATATGTGAGTTTATATGTATGTGTGCATGTGTATATTTGTGTGTGCTTTTGTATATGTTTGTGTGTCTATGTATGTGTGCATATGTATATGAGTGTATGTGTATATATGTGGGTGTATATATATGTGCGTGTGTGTATATATGTGTGTATATATATGTGTGTATATATTTGTGTATTTCTGTGTTTATATGTGTATACATATATTGTGCATGTGTGCTTGTGTATATGCATACATGTGTGTATGTATGTATGGGTATGTGTATATATATTGTGTGTTTGTATGTATGTGTATATATGTGGTTGTATATATGTGTGTGCATATATGTGTATATATTTGTGTATTTCTGTGTTTATATATGTATATGTATAATGTTTATATGTGTGTGCTTGTGTATACGTATATGCATATATGTGTGTATATCTGTATGTATGTGTGCATGTGTATATGTATATATGTGTGTATGTATGTGTGAAAGTGTATATGTATATATTATTTATTTTTAGGGTTTCAAGTTCATTCTGCTGGGGTTTTTGTGTGTGTTTTTAGGGGTGATGGACACTCGTTGGACTATTAGTTGTATTGTGTCAAAATTTTGCATCAATTCATCCAGTGGTTTCCAAGTTATGTTTTCCCCCCACAAACAAACATTCCATTTATGTATATTTATATATGAAAAGCTCTTGCAATTGTAAGGCACAACACCCCAATGTAAAGGGATGTTTGTCATGGGGGTAAAGTGTGTCTTTTCCCCCCCATAACGCTTCCTTGAACCCCAAAGATGGAAACTAACTGGTTGAAAAACCTAAAAGGGAACCATTGCAGGGAATGGGAGTCCCAGAAGGGCCCCCCAGAGGCCACCTAGTCCATCCTCCCGAGCAAGGGAGGCTCTGGGCTAAAGCCGTGCTGTGGCCTCCTTAGGGACTAGGGCCTTGGTTGAGCAAAAGCCAAGAGGGAGACCTGGATGAACTGGTTGAAGCGGGGCTCCTTCTTCTGCTTGGCCTTCAGCTGCTCCAGCGCAAAGGACTGCCGGCTGCAGAAGCGGGCCGAGATCTTCTGGAACCAGTTCCCTTCGGAGCCGTCAAACTGGGAAGGGAGGAAGGCATCCATCGATGGAGGGAGGGGGTCACGCAGAAGGAGCCCCCGCTCCCGGCCTCTCCTCCTTCCCAACCCCCCCCCCTCGTTCTCTCTCTCTCTCTCTCTCTCACCCGGGCCAGAAGGGCGCTCCCGATTTCGGAAACGATGGAGTTGTTCTCCTCCCGGAGTTTCTTCAAGCTCTCCAGGAAGACTTCTGCCGAAGGAGAGGAAGGAAGGAAGGCGAGAATGAAAGAAGAGCAACGGTAAACAAAAGGAGGAGAACAAGAAAGGAGGCCAATCTATCTATATGAATAAAAATATAATGTTTGTTTGTGGGGTAAACATAACTCAAAAGGTTGGGGAGTTTGGAAAAGTTTTACCAGAATAGTTAGGGTTGTTCTCCTCCCGGAGTTTCTTCAAGCTCTCCAGGAAGACTTCTGCAAAAGGAGAGGAAGGAAGGAAGACGGGAATGAAAGAAGAGCAACGGTAAACAAAAGGAGGAGGAGAAAGGAGACCAATCGATAGAAATAACAATATGTTTGTTTGTGGAATGAACAGGGGGGCACTGGGGGGTGCCCTTGTCCCTTGTCCCCAGAGGGCCCCTCCCCTGGCGCTCCCACTCACTGTGCTCGTCGACGAGGTCCTCGAGGGAGGGGAAGATGTTGGCCAGGTCCCTCTCGCTGAAGAACCCCTCGGCCAACAAGGGCTGGTAGAAGACCTCCAGCAGGACCCGCAGCATACGCAGGTGGGCGTGCTCCGTGATGAACAGCTCTGGCGGGGGGAGGAGGAGGAGACACCCTGTCAAGACACCCCCACCTTGGACAACTCCAGGGTTCTACAGCCCTGGTTCTCATCTAGCCATCCATCCATCTATCCCTCCCACCTTTCTCTCTCCTATCTATCTATCTATCTATCTATCTATCTATCTATCTATCTATCCATCCATCCATCCATCCATCATCCATCCATCCACCTCTATCTATCTATCTATCTATCTATCTATCTATCTATCTATCTATCTATCTATCTATCCATCCATCCATCCATCCATCCATCCATCCATCCACTCATCCATCCATCCATCCATCCATTCCCCCACCCACCCATCCATCCATCCCTTCCTTCTATCTATCCCTCAAATCTCTCATCCATCCATCTACTCATCCATCTATCCCTCCCTTCTATCTAGCCCTCAAATCTCTCATTTGTCCATCCATCCATCCACTCATCCATTTATCTATCTATCTATCTTTCTATCCATCTATCTATGCATCCATCCATCTATCCCTTCCTTCTATCTATCCCTCAAATCTCTCGTTTCTCCGTCCGTCCATCCATCCACTCATCTACCTACCTACCCTACCTATCCATCCATCCATCCATCCATCCATCCCTTCCTTCTATCTATCCATCCTTCAAATCTCTCATCCATCCGTCCATCTATCCATCCATCCAGCCATCCACTCATCCATTTTTCTATCTATCCCTGTCTGTCTGTCTGTCTGTCTGTCCATCCATCCATCCATCTGGAGGGCTTGGATGGTGTCCTCCTGTCAGGCAGAAGGGCTTGGACTAGATGTCCTTTAGGGGTCCCCGACCAACTCTACAATTCTATATCTATCTATCTATCTATCTATCCATCCATCCATTCATCCATCAATTCACCCATCCATCCATCCCATCTCTCTCTCTCCTATCTGTCTATCTATCCATCCATCCACCCACTCATCCATTTTTCTATCTCTTTCTCACTCTCTCACTGTTGATGACTTCCTGCTGCTTGATGTGGCGGTTCTTCAGCCCAAATAGATCTGTCTGTCTACCTATCCTTCTCTCTCTCTCTCTCAGTCCCCCCCACCTCTCCCTCCCTGCCCCTCCCTGCCCCTCACCGTTGATGACTTCCTGCCTCTTGACCTGGCTCTTCTTCAGCCCGAGGAGGGTCCCGGGGGGGACGAGGTCGCGCCAGTTGGGCGGCTCCATCTCCAGCTCCGGAACGCTGCGCGAAGGCGGGGGCGGCGCAGGCTCAGCCTCCTCAGACTGGGCAGGCAGAAAGGACAGCGGGGAGGGCTGCGGAGAGGGATCCCCTCCTCCTCCTCCTCCCCCGGGGGGCTCCAGGCTGAAGGGAGACACCCAACACAAGGGGTCAGGGCGGCCGCCAAACAACAACAACAACAACAAGAGCAAAGGCACTGAAGGGGCACAACCAGACAACAACAACAACAACAATAATAATAGGAAAAGAGAGTGAAGGGGCCACGACCGATGAGTCCACGCCAAGACCAGCCAATGTTGGTGACCCAATGGGGAACAGACCAATACAGTCCTGGGTCTCCTCCGGCCCCTCTCTCCTGGGGGCCGCCCTCCTCCGCACTCACTTGCGACTGCCCTTTTGCTGCATCTGCTGCATCTTGTGAGCCTCCTGCTGCTGCATCTGCGTGGCACGTGTGGCGGCCTCGGCGTCCACGTCGCTCCGGGAGCGCGGCTGCTTGCCTTTGCCCGAGCCACGCAAGGACCGCTTGCGCTCGCACACACGGAGGCTCTCCGACCGGCCCAGCCTCCCGGTCAGCCTGGGCAGAGCAGGCAGCCAGACAGTTGACCGGTTTGGACAAGACAAGGGGCGGAGACGGGGAGCGGCAATGGAGGGACCACAAATGGATTGTAATGGACGGATGGACACACAGAGACGTGGATCGTCGGCACAACGGACCCATTGGAATGGCACAAGGATGTGCCCCATTTGGGCAAAGGGGCATCGCATGGAGATGCAACAGACCCACAACAAATGCACACAGAACGGCACGGGTTTTCAGCACAACAGGACCCATAGTTATGGGTACAATCAGGGGGATCGCATTGGGACACAACAGACCAATAACAGATGGATACAGAGGGCAAGACAATGATTGGTACCAAAGTCCCATTGGAAACGAGGCACAGGTTCGGACGCCAACAGGGGAGAAAATATGGCCCGTTTTTGGCAAGGAACAGATACCGAAAGGGGAGCAAATAAATATGGCCAGTTTTTGCAAGGAAGGGATGCCAAAAAGGGGAGCAAAAAAGGCCAGTTTTTGCAAGGAATTGATGCAAAAAGGGGGAGTAAATAAGGCCAGTTTTTGCAAGGAATGAATGCCAAAAAGCAGTGCAAATATGAGCAGTTTTTGCAAGGAAGTGATACGAAAAAGGAGTGCAAATATGGTCAGTTTTTGGCAAGGAAGTGATACGAAAAAGGAGTGCAAATATGACCAGTTTTTGCAAGAAATTGATGCAAAAAGGGGGAGCAAATAAGGCAGATTTTTGCAAAGAAGAAATGCCAAAAAGAGGAGCAAATATGACCAGTTTTTGCAAGGAATGGATGCAAAAAAGGAGTTCAAATGTGGCCAGTTTTTGCAAGGAAGAAACGCCAAAAAGGGGAGCAAATATGGTCGGATTTTGCAAGAAACAAATACCAAAAAGGAGTGCAAATATGGCCAGTTTTTGCAAGGAACAAGTGCCAAAAAGGAGTGCAAATATGGTCAATACACAGAGACACAACAGACCGGGAACAGGCATGGGATGTCGGCACAACGGACCCAGAGGAAAGAGTGCCGCAAAGGCCCAATTTTGGCAAAGGGCGAGCCATTGCATGAGGGGACAAGAAACCGATCATGGGCAGACGCACAGAATATAGGCACCGTTGACCCATACGATGGCCCATACCAAGGCCCAATTTGAGGCCAATCACAAACAGACACAGGGAAGCACGGATCGTCATCATCACAGACCCAAAGGAAAAGGATACCAACAAGGGAGAGACAAGGGACCAAGAGAAGGGAGAGATTCGGACGCCGCAAAGGGGAGGAAACGTGCCCAAATTTGGAGCGTGGGGAGACAGGACGTTAGCACATGCAGTGAGAAGGGGAGAGAAAGAGGAGAGAAAGGCATCGTGAGAGAGAGAGAGGTCCAGGCACCCCTCAAAAGGTTGCCCCTCATTGCAAAGGACCCCCCAAATTTGCCCACCCCATTCCCATTGATCCAGGGCCCCAAAGGGATATACTGCAGAGTGAGGCGTGTGTGTATGTGTGTGTATATATATACACACACACATACATACAAATAAAAAACTAGATGTACCCAACACGCGTTGCTGTGGCCAACCTTCCCTCCCTCTTTCCTTCCTTCCCCTTTTTTCTTTCCTTCTCTCCTTTCTTCCTTCTCTACCTCTTGCCTTCCTTCCCCCCTTTTTATTTCCCTTCTCTCTCTCCTTTCTTCCTTCTCTACCTTTCTTTCCTTCCTTCACTCTTTGCGTCCATCCTTCCCTTTCCTTCTCTCCTTCCCTCTTTCTTTCCTCCCTCCCTTCGCTCTTTGCATCCACCTCTTTCTTCCCTTCCTTCCTTTCCTCTTTGCATCCATCCTTCTCTCTTTCCTTCTTTCCCTCCCTCTTTCTTTATCCTTTCTTCCCTCCCTCTTTCCTTCCTTCCCCTTTTTTCTTTCCTTCTCTCCTTTCTTCCTTCTCTACCTCTTGCCTTCCTTCCCCCCTTTTTATTTCCCTTCCCTCCCTCCTTTCTTCCTTCTCTACCTTTCTTTCCTTCCTTCCTCCTCTTCGTCCATCTTCCCTTCTCTCCTTCCCTTTCTTTCCTCCCTCCCTTCGCTCTTTGCATCCACCTCTTTCTTCCCTTCCTTCCTTTCCTCTTTGCATCCATCCTTCTCTTTCCTTCTTTCCCTCCCTCTTTCTTTATCCTTTCTTCCCTCCCTCTTTCCTTCCTTCCCCTTTTTTCTTTCCTTCTCTCCTTTCTTCCTTCTCTACCTCTTGCCTTCCTTCCCCCCTTTTTATTTCCCTTCTCTCTCTCCTTTCTTCCTTCTCTACCTTTCTTTCCTTCCTTCACTCTTTGCGTCCATCCTTCCCTTTCCTTCTCTCCTTCCCTCTTTCTTTCCTCCCTCCCTTCGCTCTTTGCATCCACCTCTTTCTTCCCTTCCTTCCTTTCCTCTTTGCATCCATCCTTCCCTCTTTCCTTCTTTCCCTCCCTCTTTCTTTATCCTTTCTTCCCTCCCTCTTTCCTTCCTTCCCTTTTTTCTTTCCTTCTCTCCTTTCTTCCTTCTCTACCTCTTTCCTTCCTTCCCTTTTTATTTCCCTTCTCTTTCTCTCCTTTCCTTCTCTACCTCTTTCTTTCCTTTCTTCCTTCTGTCCCCATTTGTTTCTTGGGTTTTGTTTGTTGTAATGTATTTTTTTAGTTTTTTGGCTTTTTAAGTCCCTTCTGCTGTGTTTTCCAGTGTGTTTATGAGTGATGGTCACTCGTTGGCCTGAGAGGTGTCTTGTGTCCATATTTGGTGTCAATTCGTCCAGTTACGTTCATCCCACAAACAAACATTTTTATTTATATAGATACTAGCCGTCCCCTGCCATGCGTTGCTTTGGCCCAGTCTGTGTATATGTATTTTGTGTGTGTATATATGTGTATATGTGTGTTTGTATGTAATTTTTCATATGCATTGTAATGTGTTTTTTATGTTTTGGCTTTTAAAGTTTCTTCTGCGGTGTTTTTCAGGGTTTTTCTGAGTGATGGTCACTCTTTGGCCTGAGAGGTGTCTTGTGTCCAAATCTGGTGTCCATTCGTCCAGTGGTTTTTGAGTTACGTTAATAGTTATGGATTGTAATGGCTGTTTTAATGTTTTACTGTAATATGTATTATGATGTTTTATTGATTGTATGTGATATTATGGTTGGAAACAGGACTGAGTCCCTCAAGAGAGGAGAGAAGGCCGGTATACAAAACTTTTAAATAAATAAATAAATAAATAAATAATCCCACAAACGAACATTACATTTTTATTTACATATATACGTTTACAGTCAGATACTAGCCGTCCCCTGCCATGCGTTGCTGTGGCCCAGTCTGTATATATGTGTTTTGCGTGTGTATATATGCGTATATGTGTGTTTGTGTATATATATGTAATTTTGCACATGCGTTGTAATGTGTTTTTTTTTATTTTTTTGGCTTTTAAAGTCCCTTCTGTTGTGTTTTTATGGGTGATGGTCACTCGTTGGCCAGAGAGGTGTCTTGTGTGCAAATCTGGTGTCCATTCGCCCAGTGGTTTTTGAGTTCTGTCGATCCCACAAACTAACATGACATTATTATTGAGATCAAGATATACTTATCCTGCTTGGAGTGCCTTTTCCCCCTGAAGAGGAAGGAGGGGTTTCATGCAAAGGGAGGGAGGGGAGAAAGGGAAGCCCACCAACCTTTTCCGCCTTCTAGAAAGGAAGAACGAGAAGAGAGAGAGAGAAAGCGTGATTATGTTAAAGAGGAAGGAGGCAGGAAAGAAAGAGAGCACCATCACTTCCATTGAGATATCAATATACAGATCGGGTTCGACCCATAGGATTTGCACCCAGATCCAAAACCGAAACCCGGCCTTGGGATTGCTAAGACTCTCCGGTTAATGTCGGCACAAACATTCCCTCATTAAGGTGACCTCGGAGGCTAAACTCACCTTTCGTTTTCCATCCCGTCGTCGGGCAAGGGTTGGTCCCCGGTCAAGGGTTGCTCGGCAACCGCGGAATCTCCGGTATCCACTCCAAATTGGCCGTCCGCACCTATAACAACAGCCAAGGTGACGTATTGCGTGGTGTTGTATTGTATTGCACCGTATTGTATTGCCTTTCCCAGGGAGAGGCAGGGCAAGGAATACAGTGCAATGCAATGCGATACCATGCAAAATAAACACTGCTGAAGCTGACGATAACATTTTTATTGTTTCATTCTTTTTATTATGGTTTTGTATTGTTTTAATGCTTAATACTGTTGATGTGTATTGAAATCTATAATGTAGATTTCAAAGTGTGTTTGCATGTTCTGTGTACATCGGGAACACAGAACACCTTGTTATCAGCACTAGTCCACACCTCCTGCATTCCAGAGTGACGTATGGCCTGCGCCCATTGCTCTCTGCACTGAGATTTATGACCTCTCTAGGAATGCCGATTCCCTTCGTGGTTCAGTTAACCCTTTCCACACAGAAATTACCATCAGCACGTAGAATTGCATTTTAGAGCAATGGACGCAGGTCATATGTCACTCTGGAATGCAGGAGGTGTGGACTAGTGCTGATAACAAGGTGTTCTGTGTTCGCGATGTTGCTGTCAAATGGAGAGGAAGATGTATTACATTGTGCTTAGCTTCTAATGTAAATAGTTGTATAATAAATTATTTATAGCCTAAAGGAGACTGTGTTCGATGTGCTCCCCTGCCTTGCTGTGCAGAGATGTCACTGACAAATATGTGTTTTGCCATTATGTGTACTGACAACCGCCTTGAGTTGCAGATACGCTGAGAAAGGCAGTATACAAATATAATTTTTTTTAAATGATATTGTCAGCTTCAAGCGTGGCTTGCATTGGAACAATAGTACGTTTAGGAAAATGCAAGCTCTGGCTCTACATTTATGGCAAAAGGGGGTTGGACTGGATGGCCTTTGGGGGTCTCTTCCGACTCTAGGAGACTATGATACTATTCTCTCTTCCAATGTCATTTACCTAGAGGTTTCTCAACAGAGGCTGCATGGCCATCTGCTGGGAGGGCTTTGATTCTTTATCCCAATTTCTCTATGAGGTTGGATGGCCATCTGCCGATGGGGATCGGATGGCCTTCTTCTTTATGGCAGATGGGGATTAGTGTGGATGGCCCTTGGGAGCCCCAACTCTAGGAATCTTTGATTCTTTGGCCCTATTTCTCTATGAAACTGATGTCCTTGAGATTGGATGGCCATCTGCCGGTAGGTATCAGATGGTGTTCAAAGTTTACTGGAGTTGGGACTCCCAAGGGCCATCTAGACCAATCCCCATCTACCATAAAGGAGAACACCATCTGATCCCTACAGGCAGATGGCCGTCCAATCTCAAGGACATCAGTTTCATAGAGAAATAGGGCCAAAGAATCAAAGATTCTTAGAGTTGGGACTTCCAAGGATCATCCAGACCAACCCCTTTCTGGCATAAAGGAGGTTCTTTAGCTTTATTTCTCTTTGAAACTGATGTCCCTGAGGTTGGATGGCCATCTGCCAGGAGGGATTGGATGGTGTCCTCCTTTATGGCAGAAAGGGGTTGGTCTGGATGATCCTTGGGAGTCCCAACTCTAAGAATCTTTGATTCTTTAACCCTATCTCTCTATGAAACCGATTATGAGGCTGGATGGCCATCTACTGGGAGGGATCGGATGGTTTCCTCCTGCATTGGCAGAATACAGTTGAACTGAATCTCTTCCAAGATTGCGATCTAGAGAGGTTTTCTATACAGAGACTGCGTGGCCATCTGTCTGTAGGGATCGGATGGTGTCCTCCTGCATTGGCAGAATACGGTTGAACTGAATCTCTTCCAAGATCATGATCTAGAAAGGTTTCCTAACAGAGGCTGTGTGGCCATCTGCTGAGAGGGATCGGATGGTGTCATCCTGACTTACAAAAAGGGGTTGGTCTGGATGGCCTCTGGGGGTCCCTTTCAACTCTAGCAATCTTGGACTCTTGAGCCCTACTTCTCTATGGAACTGATTGTCTATGAGGTTGGATGGCCATCTGTTGGGAGGGTTTTGACAGTGTCCTTTATGGCAGAAAAGGGGAGGACTGAATGTCCTTAGGGGTCCCAACTCTAGGAGTCTTTGATTCTTTAGCTCTACTTCTCTTCAAAATAGCTAATGCCTATGAGGTTGGATGGCCATCTGCTGGGAGGGATCGGCTGGTGTCCTCCTGCCTTACAGAAAAAAGAGTTGGTCTGGATGGCAATTGGAGGTCTCTTTAAATTCTAGCAATCTTTGATTTTTTAGCCCTACTTCTCTACGAAACAGTCAATGCCTATGAGGCTGGATGGCCATCTGCTGGGAAGGATTGGATGGTGTCATCCTGACTTACAAAAAGGGGTTGGTCTGGCTGGCCCTTGGGGGGTCTCTTTAAGTTCTAACAGTCTTTGATTCTTTCGCCCTATTTCTCTATGAGGCTAATGCCTATGAGGTTGGATGGCCATCTGCTGAGAGGGATCGGATGGTGTCGTCCTGACTTACAAAAAGGGGTCGGTCTGGCTGGCCCTTGGGGGTCTCTTTGAGTTCTAACAGGCTTTGATTCTTTAGCCATACTTCTCTAACGCCTATGAGTTTGGATGGCCATCTGCCGGGAATGATCGGATGGTGTCCTTCTTCCTGCCCAACCCATCCAGGTGCGTGCCTCACCTGCGGCCTCTCCCTCGTTGCCGCCCTCCCCGGACGGAGGAGGCGGGGGGTGGACGCTGACGCAGATCCCGGGCGGCTCGGGCCCCGAGGAGGAGGAAGAGGAAGAGGAAACGGAGGAGGAAGAGGAAGAGGCTCCCCCCTTGAGGCGGAGGGGGGTCCCCTCGGGCCCCTTGGCCCCCTTCCTGTCCGGAGCCGGAAGGCCCTTCTCGCCCGCTGAAAAGGAAGGAAACGGAACCGTTAACGGAACCCGGGCGACAACGGTACCTCCCGCAAAACGTGAACGGAACCCGTGAGGTCGACAGGCGGGTGCGTGGACGGACAAGTGGACGGAGAAGGCGGCATGCGAGGGAATTGGTCGGACAACGCAAGGAACATATTAGTATACTATTATTAATATAAAGTATTACAGTAGACTCTCAGTTAACCGGAACACGTGGGGTGAATCAATATATGCTTGAGAGTTACTATACCCCATATCACAAACTGGATTGATATTATTCTTGAAACAGTATTAAGTATTAATACTTCAATAATATGTCAATAATAACAATATTAATATTTAGCCAGGTATTATATTGGTTGCTGACCATAAATCTGTATCGATAAAGAATTATTAATACTTGAGATATATACGTTTATGGTCAGCAACCAAAGTAATACCTGATATAAATTTCAATATTGCCATACTGTTAATGATCAATACTTGATATTAATATTGATATTATTACCATACTATTAATGATAAATACTTGATTTAAATATCAATATTATCACCATACTATAAATATTTGATATTAATATTGATATTATTGTCATACTATTAATGCTTAATAATATTAATATTGATATTATTACCATGCTATTAATGATCAATACTTGATTTAAATATCAATATTACCGCCATACTATAAACTATTAATACTTAATATTGATATTACTGTCATACTATTAATGATGAATACTTGATATTAATATTGATATTATTACCATACTATTAATGATGAATAACTGATATTAATATTGATATTACAGCCTATTAATGATGACTACTTGGTATTAATATTGATATTATTACCATACTATTCATGATAAGTACTTGATTTAAATATTGATATGATTGCCATACTATAAACTATTAATACTTTATATTAATTTCAACATTATTCCATATTATTAATTATAATTAATTGATAATTATCAATAATTAATTGATAATTATCAATACTTGATTTAAATATCGATATTATCACCGTACTATAAACTATTAATACTTGATATTAATATCGATATTACTGTAATACTATTAATGATAAATACTTGATATTAATATTGATATTAATACCATACTATTAATGATGATTGCTTGATATTAATATTGATATAATTACCATACTATTCATGATAAATACTTGATTTAAATATTGATATCATCTCCATACTATAAACTATTAATACTTTATATTAATTTCAACATTATCGCCATACTATTAATGATCAATACTTGATTTAAATACCGATATTATCGCCGTACTATAAACTATTAATACTTGATATTAATATCGATATTATTGTCATACTATTAATGATCAACCATGGCAATCAATGGGTTGACAGATGTCTTACTATTGATTATCAATACTTGATATTAATATTGATATTTCTACTATACTATTAATGATCAATAGTTGATATTAATATTAATATAATTTCAACTCTATTAATAGTTGATATTAATATCAATATTATCACCGTACTATTAACTATTAATACTTGATATTAATATTGATATTTCTACTATACTATTAATGATCAATAGTTGATACTAATATTAATATAATTTCAACTCTATTAATAGTTGATATTAATATCAATATTATCACCGTACTATTAACTATTAATACTTGATATTAATATTGATATTTCTACTATACTATTAATGATCAATAGTTGATACTAATATTAATATAATTGCAACTCTATTAATAGTTGATATTAATATCAATATTATCACCGTACTATTAACTATTAGTACTTGATATTAATATTGATATTTCTACTATACTATTAATGATCAATAGTTGATATTAATATTAATATAATTTCAACTCTATTAATAGTTGATATTAATATCAATATTATCACCGTACTATTAACTATTAATACTTGATATTAATATTGATATTTCTACTATACTATTAATGATCAATAGTTGATATTAATATTAATATAATTTCAACTCTATTAATAGTTGATATTAATATCAATATTATCACCGTACTATTAACTATTAATACTTGATATTAATATTGATATTTCTACTATACTATTAATGATCAATAGTTGATACTAATATTAATATAATTGCAACTCTATTAATAGTTGATATTAATATCAATATTATCACCGTACTATTAACTATTAGTACTTGATATTAATATTGATATTTCTACTATACTATTAATGATCAATAGTTGATACTAATATTAATATAATTGCAACTCTATTAATAGTTGATATTAATATCAATATTATCACCGTACTATTAACTATTAATACTTGATACTAATATCAATATTATTGCCAAACATTTAACTACTAACAATTGATATTAATATCAATATTACTGACATACTATTAGATCTGAATACTTGATAGCGTTAGAAATAGGCCTCACTAATACTAAACCCCATACACTAACATATCATAAACTTTCTATTGGCTTGATATTCCTATCAATATTATTGAAATATTAATATTAATATTGAAATGCTATTAAATACTAATACTCGATATTAACAACATAACTCAATGTAACACAGTTTTCCTATATTATGATGATGGTTTTGTGACACTATGTGCAATTTGAGTCCAAAGTAGGTTGGAACTGATTTTATTTTTTGCCATTTGCTTGAGAGTTCTGTTTAACCAAGAGTCAACTGTATTATTATTGTTGTTGTTGTTGTTGTTGTTGTTGTTGTTGTTATTACAGTTCACTGATGGAAAACACTGTTATTGTCAAACCATGTCTAGGAAAGTTAGTGCCTAGTGTTACACTGGGGTGCCAAGGGGGTGCCATGCATTGTTGTTGTTGTTGTTATGATTATTATGGGATGGCACAGGGTTTCTGGGTACCTTCACCCTCGGGTTTGGCCTGTCTGTAATCAGAATCTACAAAGAAACGGAGGAAGAAAATAAAGAAGGAGGGAAATGGAGAAGGACAACCAGACCTTCCCCGGGAATAATAATAATAATAATAATAATAATAATAATAATAATAATAATTTATTTGTACCCCGCTACCATCTCCCCAAGGGACTCGGTGCGGCTTACATGAGGCCAATAATAATAGTAATAATAATAATAATAATAATAATAATAACACTTTATTTTGTACCCCGCTACCATCTCCCCAAGGGACTTGGTGCGGCTTACATGAAGCCGAGCCCACAACACATCAATAATAATAATAATAATAATAATAATAATAATAATAATAATTATTTGTAAAAGGAGGGAAATGGAGAAGGACAACCAGACCTTCCCCGGGAATAATAATAATAATAATAATAATAATAATAATAATAATAATTTATTTGTATCCCGCTACCATCTCCCCAAGGGACTCGGTGCGGCTTACATGAAGCCGAGCCCACAACACATCAATAATAATAATAATAATAATAATAATAATAATAATAATAGCACTTTATTTGTACCCCGCTACCATCTCCCCAAGGGACTCGGTGCGGCTTACATGAGGCCGAGCCCATACAGTGTTCCCTCATTTACCTCAGGTGTTACATTCCAGGAGATACAAGCAATATATCCATTTCGAAGCAAGCCCGCTTGTGAGTAGTTATTTGATATTTAGATCCTATAGACCAGGGGTCCCCAAACTACGGCCCGCTGAGGGCATTTCTCCGGGCCGCGCGGCCTGGCCTGGCCACGCCCACCCGGCGCCGCTCCGCCCATTGCTGGAACCCTCTGCTCTGGCTGCTCTGGTAATTACAACTCCAAAGCCTTTTGTAGTTTACCTGCCTCCTTGGAGACCAGAGCGGCCGGAGCAGAGGGTTCCTGCGAAGGCCGGAGCGGCGCCGGGTGGCCAGCGGTGCCGGGTGGGCGTGGCCAGCGGCGCGCTGGCATTCTCTGGCCACGCCCACCCGGCCCGCTCCGACCATCGCTGGAACCCTCTGCTCTGGCTGCTCTGGTCTCCAAGGAGGCAGGTGAACTACAACTCCAAAACCAAAGGACACTGCCCACCAAATCCTTCTAGTATTTTCCATACTGGGAGAACTGTGTGCCAAGTTTGGTTCAATTCCATCTTAGATGGGGTTCAGAATGCTCTTTGATTGTAGGTGAACTATAAATCCCAGCAACTACAACTCTCAAACGTCAAGATTCTATTTCCCCCATACTCCACAAGTGTTCACATTTGGGCATATGGAATATCAGTGCCAAGTTTGGTCCAGATCTATCATTGAGTCCA